TCGTTGATGATGGAGAAGTTTGTACTTGAAGTACTAGTAAAATTTTTATTCCTACATTTCTTACCAAAGCCTTTTGCTTTCACAACTCCTAGTAGGAAGTCCCAATCAACTTTGTTGAAAGCTTTTTCTACGTTTAGCTTGAAGACAAGACCCTATTTCTTGTTTTTGACTTTTCATCAATGAGCTAATTGGCTCGAGGCTTGGATTTCCTCCCCTTTTTTATAATTTTATATTTTCTATGAAATTGTTTCTTATATAAAAAATCAGAGTTACACGTTTGTTGTTTTTGGATGTGATCATACCGTCATTAACATATTGAATCATCACTTTGCTGTGAAGTGCATGTGGGTGAGGTTAGGTATTAGTTGGGTGACCAACTGGAAAGTCCAGCGATGTTTCTGTTCTTGCTTCAACCATAGAGACATGTATCTTAGAAAACTTATTAAATACAATACTCCAAGAGTAAATGAGAAAAATTTGAGTAACATCTGCCTAGAGGTTTCGTGTTTGAATGTTCGGGTGAGCTTAATAAGGAACACTCTTGATGTTCCAGAGTTTGAGCCTTAGAGTTGGCGTGGACTTTAAAAAGAAAGAGAAAAATATAAATTTGTGATCACTAGTAATTTGAAATATTATTTCAAAATTATCAGTTGCTTACTTGCTTTATATCAAGCTCAATTACATTGTGTGCAGATTCGTGAATACCATAGAAGGCATCCAGCTGCACGTGTTGTAGATGTTAATGAGGATGATGGTCTTCTCAAAGAGGAACCACAAATTGAGTTCAGTGGAGAGGTCTCTCTATTTCTTTTTATGACTGAAATTTGCATAGAATTACTTGACTGTAGTTCTTTCATGGTTAACACTGTAGTTTTTCATAAAACCGGTCTATTGCCTGGCCATATATGGGAAACTTCTCTTGAAATTACTCCCATTACTCCAAGTCCAATTATGAAAATTATTCTCATGCTTGCATTTTCATATTGTATGTCAACACAAAGCATTCTTATGAAAGAAGGGCTTTTTCTATTGCCTAGTAATAGGGAGCACAAGTTTTTGATAATTAACGCAATATACAAATTTACAAATTTGCACATCTGGAAAAAGGTGAATTGACTGCATCAAGAAATATATATATTATTTTTGGCCATAATAACCAAAAGTTGTTTTTTGACGTAAAAAGATTTGATAATTTTCAAAGTCTTAGACCCCCTTATCTTTTTATAAGAGAATAAATTCCAGTCTTTTAGATTAATCAAAGCTTATTTGTGAGTTTGTGTTGACTAGTGGGGGACATTTTGAGAGAGCCCCTATTTGGTGGGTTAGATAGAAGATTATTGGTTAAAATCTTATTTTGGTTCCTAAGCTTTCACACTTTTTTTTTTTTTTTT